CCTCAGCTTCAGCCTCATGGGAAACTAAGCTAGAAACAACAAACAGCAAGTCAGAGAACAGGATTCAAATATAAAAAGACCATGACAAACCAGGAAAGGATGCAATCAGCTGTTTTTAAGAAACTGCAAACAGATACTTCACTTAGGAAAAATAAAATTCAGAAACAACATGGGGAAAAACCTCAGCCGTGGGCAAGTATGGCTGCAACAGCTCTTCACTGGCTAAACTGCACATGTGTCTTCATAGAGTATTAAGTGTCCAAAACTAAGTTGATGCTGTATGTCCCTGCCCATGACACATTGGACATGCACATGACATTGGCAACATTCTTCTACATCGGTCATTGGTTAAGACCTTATAAAAGTAGTATGCCCTATTTAAGAAGGAAAATCTAAGAAACACATGGAAAATTTCATTGAGACTAAGAACAAAACATGTAGACTGCCACATAAAAATTTTAGAAAGAGAGACGAGTATTTGGCTCAGCAGTTAAATGCTGTTTGGGATGCCAACATCCCATACTGGGGTGCCCCATGTGAGTCTCGGTTCTGCTCCCCGATTCCAGTTTCCTGCTAATGCCCATCCTGGAAGGCAGGAGACGATGCCTCAAGTACTTGGGTCCCTGACACACATAAAAGACCTAGATAGAATTCTGAGCTCCTGGCTTTGGCCTGACCAGCCCTGGATGTTGTGGGTATTTAGCGAGTGAAGCAGGGGATAGATGTTCTCCCTCTTTAGGTTTCTCTTTCAAGTAAAATGAAAATAAACACATTAGAAAATATAAAAAGAAGGATGTGACACTGCTGAGCTGGGAAGAAATGAGGGACCTGCTGAAACCCACCCTTACAGTACAGTTTTCCCCAACAGAGCCCTATCTTTACTCCATCACTGCCTCTCGTAGAGACAGGCACACTGGCATTCTGCCATCCTTTGCTGTACAACAAAGCACGTGACTTGTAATCTGGAGGTAGACACACTGCAATGGTACAGTCTTCAGCAGTCTCTATCAAACGCTAGGTCTGGAAGCATGGAAACCAACTTAGGCCTCTGCTTGTTCAGCTGCCCTATGAACTGGAATTTAAGAAACCTTGGCATGACCTGGAAATTACCTAATTCAAGTTAGGACAGGAGGCTGCATGTTTACAGATTACCATCTGCAGAATATTCATGGGACGGACATTCTCTGCCTAACTGTTCATTGCTTTGGCATCCGAACTTTTTGAAACTGATGGAGGCGACTCATTCCTAGAAAGCAGAGACATTCCCTCGTTCTCTTAGCCAATCGGAGTTCCTCGAGAGGCCAGGTACATTCCGGCCTTGAGGGCTTAATCTGAAGTGGTTGTCTCGTCTCTTGCAAACACTTTCCCCTAAGATCTGCAGAGGTTTCCAAGTCTTTGCTCACACTGTACTGCTCAGTGATGCTGTCCTAACCGTACTGCTTAAAACGCTTCAACACCACTTCTTCTTATTTCATAGCACACACCACCCCTTAACACACCAATTATAGTTATTAGTCATCTGCCTCCTCCCACTGAAGTGGAAGCAGCCCAAAGATGGGAGCTTTTGTCTGTGTGGTTCACAGCTGCATGCCAAGACTGAGGAACAGTGCCTGGCACACAGTAGGCATTTGCATATTTATTTAGTCAGCTAACTCAGGACACATGTTCACGATGCAAATCACAAGAAAGGAATTTTTTTTTGTGAAACAGACGATGCATTTTCAATTGGAAGAAACACCCCGTTACTGCCTTTAATGCAGTGAAGACCACAAACAGTCATTTCAGTTTTTAAACCAAACAAGGGAGGAAACTGTGTTCACAAGTAGATCAACATATCGAGACTGGGCTGGCATCGTGGCTCACTTGCCTAATCCTCCACCTGCGGCGTTGGCATCCCATATGGGCACCGGGTTCTAGTCCCGGTTGCTCCTCTTCCAGTCCAGCTCTCTGCTGTGGCCTGGGAGGGCAGTGGAGGATGGCCCAAGTGCTTGGGTCCCTGTACCCACATGGGAGACCCAGAAGAAGCACCTGGCTCCTGGCTTTGGGCTGGTGCAGCACGCCAGCTGTGGTGGCCATTTGGGGAGTGAACCAACGGAAGGAAGACCTTTCTCTCTGTCTCTCTCTCTCTGTCTATAACTCTACCTGTCAAAAAAAAAAAAAAAATCGAGACTGTGGTTTTTCAGATATGCCAATAGCTACAATATGAACAAAGGTAATCGGATTCTAGCAGGCCAAAGACGGATTTCAGACGTAAACTGATCCCCAGAGCAGATTCTTAAGGGAAGGACTCTTTCTGGTAACTGACTCAAGGCCCTCAGGTTTTGGGCTAAGAAATCAGCTTCTCTTACTTTATATACTAAATCTATCTCCAGTATGAGAACAAAGCACTCTTAAAAAGTCTGCAAAGTATTCAAGAGAAATACCTACGAAGCCTGTCTGAGGGGTGTCTGGGTGTACCCTACACCCCAGCCCCATCTGACATAGGTGACATACACATCGGGTCTGCTTCGGCTCAGCCATCTGGAGGGACCTTGAGCAATCCTTTGTTCTTTATCCACACATTCCTTAACCACTCCCAGACGTGCTCTTCTTAAATTAATCAGCAGCCTTCTTTTTTTGGCATACTGCATCTCTGAAGGCACAACTACCAATCATATTCTTAAAAAAACAATCTCCAACCAGTAAGGGACTCGCCTAGACTGACCTGAAGCCTGCCTCTTCTGCCCAAGCCAAGGTATGTTCACTGTGTGATGATAAATGAAAACTGCTACGCAGTATGCAAACCCCGAATAAAACAGAATCCAACCACTTGGGAACATTGCCCAGGACTCATTAAGTCGTGGGTCTGTGTCTGTCGGGCCTAGGTTGCTCATGCTCTGCCCCCAGTAAACCTTACAGTAACCTTGTCACAGAGCCTGTTTACTTCCCTCAGCAAGTACTTTACAATTAAGAGAAAAAGGAAAGCTTATGCGGCAGCAAAAGGGATTTCAAAACATAAATTGGGTTAAGTCATGGTCTAAAACCATTCCAGTGCTTCTCACTGTGTTTAATCCTCATCGTGGCTACAAGATCTGGCATGATCCGCTTGGCCCTCTGTGGGGGCCTCTCTAGTATCCACAGCGCTCCGCGGCTACCGCAGGGCTCTTTGGGTGCCTGAACACGCCATGTGTCCCTGCTCACAGCCTCTGCTCTGAGTGACACATTTGTAAGTAACACCCACACCCCCATACACACACACACACACACACCCTTAAGTCTCAGTTTGAATGTTACCATCTGGGGCCTGCTTTCCCACCCCCTTCACCCCAAGTGCCTCCTTAGACTTCAGCTCCTTATTTGCATCTCTTAACACTTGAGAGTATTGGCCTCTCCCACACAGCAGCTCTTCTAGCACAAGCACAGTGGCTGCCTTCTGTCCCATTCCAGCCCAGCCCCTAGCAGTTCTCTTAAGCAGCATCCTGCTATGCAGGGAGTAGTACATGTTCAGACGTTTGCTGATCCAAGGACGGTGGACCTACCATGAATTAATTTAAAGTCTCAGAGATTGACTGATACTCCTAATTTTCTGAGCTGTCAAAGCCAGGATGAATGGGTAGAACTGTAGCACTGCCTTCGACACCAAGCAAACGCCTTCTGCGGCTGATTTCCACCACTCCCTGTTTAAGGCTAACAATTATCCCTAACACATCAGCACATCCACATTCTCAGAGGCTGTGGAGGAGTCTTAATCTTTCAGTTTTATCCTGAAAGAAATTCACATGGGAAGAAATTCTGATCACACAGTTGTGTTGAAAAGGAGATTTGTTTTTATAAAACTGAAATCTCAGTGTACTTGCAGTTTCTGGTTTTCCTAAGGCCTGGCCATGATTACATTCTGTATATGCTTGTGGAGTTTAAAATTATAGGAACTTTATTAGCTGCTAGTTGTTGAATTTTCATGTTCAACATCTGCTAAATGCCAGGTACTGTGCTAAGAATACTAATATTATCGCTTTCAGCTCACCTCCACCAAGCACTACATAGCATTTGCAATAAGCCAGGCACTGTTTTCCATACTTCATAAACATTCACTCTTCTGCAAGGCAAAAAGTACTACCATCATGCATCACAAACACCATACATAATGGAAGCAAGGCACACACAAGCTAAGCATCTTTTTTTGTTTGTTTGTTTGTTTTAACTTTTATTTAATGAATATGAATTTCCAAAGTACAGCTTATAGATTACAATGGCTTCCCCCCCATACCGTCCCTCCCACCCACAACCCTCCCCTTTCCCACTCCCTCTCCCCTTTCCCACTCCCTCTCCCCTTCCATTCACATCAAGATTCATTTTCAATTATCTTAATATACAGAAGATCAAGCTAAGCATCTTGCTAAAGGTCGCATAGCTATTACACAACAGACTTGGGACGTGACTCCAGAGTCCATGTTGTTGGCAACACAAAGATGAGTAAGATATGAGCCATACCTTTAAAATGTCTACACCTTTAGGGGAAAGAGAATGGTATACACTCAATAACATGCTTGTGACAAGCGTGTAAGAGGTATACAGATTAACATTAATGTCATATTAACATTATAATGAATATGAACATTCATATGCATGAAAGAGATATGAAAGAGATTAGCACCCTTATAAGAAAAAAACGAGATTTAGTATTTCTTGTCCTTTACTTCCTGGCAGCACCTGACACTTAATTCTACTCCGGTCCCTTCCTGGTTTCCCAGCTGCTCCTCTAATGGAAGCCTTTCCTCTGCCCACTCCCTGCATGCTGCTGCTGGTCGCTGGGGCTCCACTGCCCATTCATGTGACAAACCCCCTGTCCTCCCCACTGCTACAGCCTGAAATACTAATTACCTCCTAAACATGCCCACATCTCTATCTTTAGGTCAGGTCTCTGCTGGGCTCTGGCCCATGAGTTAGCCACTTAAAGCAGCTCTTTCATATTTGCTGGGACTGCAAGACAGTACTTAAAGGACAAAAAACAGTTCACCAACCTGCTTGGTATCACGTAGCTGAGATCTCTGCACAGCAGAAATAAGCTCTGAGTGCCAGATTAAAGGCGATTATTTCCTTCGGTTTCAAGCACCAAGAAAAGCATTTCCGATTTTGAAAAAACTGTCATATACTTCAGGGATGTTCTTTGCAGTACGTTCCTTGGATCCGTTTCAATCACACCTTAAGAACAGGAAAATAAATCACGGGGCCAGCATTGTGGTACAACTGGTTTGAGTCTGGCTGAATCACTTCCAATCCAGCTCCCTACTAATGCACCTGGGAGAGTGGTGGAAGATGGCCCAAGTGCTTGGGCCCCTGAGCCCATACAGGAGAGCCAGATGGAATTCCAACCTCCTGACTTCAGCATGGCCCAGCCCCAGCCATTGCAGCTATTTGCAGGAGTGAACCAGTGAACTGAAGACCTCTTTCTTCTGTCACTCTGCATTTCAAATAAATAAATCTCTAAAAAATAGAAGAGAAACGATGAACCAACAAGAACATAGGAAAGGTCTGTAACCTTAAACTAACACGCTATTCTTGGCAGGATATATATATAGTTTTAAATCTATTAATTAATAAATTTGAAAGGCAGAGCTATGGAGAGAGGGACAGAGAGACCCTCCATCCACTGGTTCACTCCCCAAATGGCCACAACAGCCAGCGCTGGGCCAGGCCAAAGCCAGTAACCAGGAACTCCATCCAGATCTCCCATGTGGGTGGCAGGGGCCTGAGTACTTGGGCCATCTTGTGCTGTTTTCCAGGCATGTAGCAGGTCGCGCTTTGGAAGTGGAGCAGCGGAGACTCAAATCAGTGCCCAGATGGGATGCTGCCACCTCAGGTAGTGGCTTAACTCACTACACCACAATGCTAGCCCCCATTTATTTATTTGAAAGGCAGAATCAAGGAGGGAGGGAGGGAGGGAGAGAGAGAGAGAGATTCCAACTACTGGTTCACTTCCCAAGTGACCACAATAGCCAGAGCTGGACCAGGGCAAAGCCAGGAGCCAGGAACTCTATTCTGGTCTCCAATGAGGTGTCAGGGGCCCAAGTACTTGTGTCATCATCTGTTGCATTCTCAGGCACATTAGCAGGGAGCCAGATGGGAAGCAGAGTAGCCAGGACTCAAACTGGTGCTCCAATATGGGATGCCGGCATCACAAGCGCTGGCTTGATCCTCTGCGCCACAATGCCAGGCCGCAGGATAATTCCCCAACAAAAATTAAGTGAAATGTATGCTCTTTGTTCTGTAAATGACTAGGAGCTGAGAATACCATGAAGACCAGAAACAAGAATCTCTGAAAGGTCCAAAAAAAATTAAAAAAAGAAAAAGTGATCATTCGCTACAGAGTACAGCCACTGGAAAGTCTGGGCTAACTCAGAAGAAGGAGCATTAAAAGCTTCACTTTGCTGAGCAGGTAGCAGCAGTCTTAAAAAGTGGCCAGGGAAAATAACTGAGCTCAAATACAACCAGGTGAGAGAAAGCAGCTAGAAGGTCTTAACAATATACTTTCCTAAGCAGTAAAGGAGGTCAGTGGAGGAATAAGGGGGCCAGCCAGGGCCCAAGCGAGACCGACACTTTATCTGGGAGGAAAGAGCAAAACATCCCACCAGAGACAGCCACTGCAGACATCTGGGACTACGTGAGGAGTTGTTTCCAAGAAGAGCTCTTGGAAGAAGTGGGAGCAGCCTGGGTCACAGGCGTATTGATTCAAAACACTCTCCGCATTAGTTTGCCTCTGCTTTCACACCATAAATCTCCTCATACATAACATCCCCTTCTTGGTGGTTTTTCTCCAGTTTGTTTGTTTGTTTGAAAGGCAGAGTTACAGGGAAAGAGACACATACACACAGAAATCTCCCACCCACTGGTTTACTCCCCAAATGGCTGCCCAAGTCAGGAGCCAGAACTCTACCCAGGTAGAGGGGCCTCAGTACTTGGGTCAACTTCCTCTGCTTTCCCAGGTGTTAGCAGGGAGTGGTATCAGAAGTGGAGCAGCTGGGACTTGAACTGGTGCTCACATGGGATGCCTGCATCTTAGGCAGCAGCTTAACCTGCTTGCCATTCCTCCAGCCCCTTTTTTTCCAGTCTTTTTCCTTCATTTGCCTTAGTGGCCTAGCAATAAATAAATGTAAAAACACCAGGGCAGCTTGTGGATTCATCAGCAGGGCAGCAGCACACGTCTCCACAGGAGAGCAAACAATGGAGCAGCACCTTTCTAGCAGCCGAGAGCAGCAAAGGGCGGGACAGATAAGGACCTAGCCCACCGGGTCCCCACGGACAGCACTCCTAGGGAATCTATAAAACTTCGGCAGAGCACCAAATGCTGGCAATAGATCTCACACCTGCTCCTTAGCCACAGAGTTAAAAACAGTGTCTCCAGGGCAAGGCTGATCCTTAAGGGACCCAAAGATAAATAAGCAAGAACTGAAGGGTACACTTCTGAAAATGAGGAAATCCACAGAAATTTCTGTCCCTCCATGTTTGATCTACAGGTATTATGGTACACAAATACAAGACTTGGTGGCTCTGTCCTTCACTGTTGGCCGCCTACTCTCTTTCCAAGTACCATATTAAAATGACAAGGGAGGGGCTGGCGCTATGGAGCAGCGGGTTAATGCCCTGGCCTGAAGCACCGGCGCCCGGTGGCTCCATTTCTGATCCAGCTCTCTGCTATGGTCTGGGAAAGCAGTAGAAGATGGCACAGGTCCTTGGGCCCCTGCACCCACGTGGGAGACCTGGAAGAAGCTCCTGGCTCCTGGCACAGCTCCGGCTGTTGGCGCCAATTGGGGAGTGAACCATTGGATGAAAGACCTCTCTCTCTGCCTCTCCTCTCTCTGTGTACTCTTTCAAATAAATAAATAAATCTCTAAAAATAAAATGACAAGGGAGAATTTTTCCTACAGCTATAAAACCAAGAATGAAAATAGGAGAGAAGACTTCAGCAGTTTAGAGACTTTTTAATGAATGTAGGTGGAAAGCCAGCTTTAAATGCAAACTTGGAAATGTGGACTGGTATAAAGTCTCTTTAATGCATAAATTCTCTTTTGTACCCCCTGCTAAGTCACAGCAATCTCATTTGTTTTCTCCATTTCCAAATCCAGAGGTTCAGAGAAAATGAACTGAACTCTGAAATGGCTCCAGAATCAAATACACCAGCAGGAACAAAGAAGAACTGAAAATAAGAATTGAGTCACAAGTTGCATTCTGAAAAGTGGCTTCCCCAAGCCCTCACCCTTGACCTAGCAATTGTTAACACTGTCAACTGAAGAAAGGCCAACAAACACACACATGTACATGCACAAACACCTACCAAGAAGATGCAGCCTGGTATTTCACTCTTAAATAACAAAAAAGGAACAAACAGCCAGGGTCATTAGACATTTAAAAAAATCCCAAGACAAAAAAGTTTGTTCCTTCCGTCAAGAAATTTTTAAGCATCACTAAGTTCCAGGCACTGCTCTACAAGTTGGAATTACTGCAGCAAACAAAACCAAACCAAATCTCTGCCTCATGGAATTTATACTGCAGGGGTAGGGGAGACAAGTAAGCAAAGCATGTGGCCTGTGTGGTGGGGATAAATGCTCTTAGAGAAAACCAAAGCAGGGGAGATGGGGATATGCACTTTCAAACACTCCCATCTAACAAGAAGAGCTATTAGGGCAAGTGTTGTGGCAGAGCAGGTTAAGCCACCGCTGGGGATGCCCACATCCCATCGACTACCTGGGATTGAGTCCCGCTTCCCCTTCTGAGTCATCTTCCTGCTAATAATATGCCTGGGAGGCATCAGAAGCTGGCCCAAGTACTTGGATGCCTGCCACCCACGTGGGAGACCTGAATGGCGTCCATGGACCTGTTTTGGGATTGGCCCAATCGTGGCTGTTGTGAGCATTTGAGGAGTGAACCAGCAAACCGGAAGAGAAGATTCATTCTCATTCTCTCTCTCTCTCTCTCCTTCCCTGCCTCCCTCCCTCCCTCCCTGTCACTCTGCCATTCAAGTACAAATTCAAAAAAAAGAATGGATATTATGAAAAAGGATCAAAGGAAAAGGAAATTAGAGACATAGTGTAAGAACATGTCCCAGAACCGCAGGACATGGCTTTCTAGACTGAAAGGGCCCACTGAGAACCCAGCACAAGAGATGAAGAAATCCACAAGCATCACGAAACTGCAGCACCCCCGGGCTAGAGAATACCCTCAGAGTTTCTTGGGAGACAGAAAACAAACAAAGCAAGGAGACAGAAAAACTCTGAATCACTATGCCAATGGAGCAATTACAAGTACCAGAAAACAGTACAATAATGCCTTTAACATTCTGGGGACAACTAGTCCCAACCTAGAAGTCTATAACCTGCCAACCGCCAAAGCAGTATGTGAGCAAATCAAAGTCATTCAAACAGTCCTTAGGAAACAACTGGAGTATGCCATCAAGGAAACAAACGACAGAAGCCCAGGAGGAGGAAGACAGGGCTCAAGACCAGCAGATGGGCAGGCTGAAAGAACACCTGGGCAGCTGTTCCCGGCAGGAACACTGAAGTAGGAGGAGGAAGAGGCAGGGCTCCAATAAACAACTGCAGGTGATACATTTGTGTTCATAAAAGAAAATGTCACTGATAAGAATGTGACAAATATGTTGGCACATTTGGGGTAAAATTAACAGTAGGTACATTAAAACTTGTAGGCAAGGCCAATGTCAACACTAGGAGGAGCATAGCTGCGGCAGATCCTCTGGCTCAACATCAAGCAGTATTGGCAGAGCCCTAAACACATACAAGCGGCCTGTTGTAGCCAGAGTACACTGCATTGTTAGGGGCAGGGAGTGTGGAAAGGCAGGGAAGTGGGAGGGTGGAAGAACTAGCAGGGAATCAACAGTCCCAGGGTCAGGGAGGAAAGGAGAAATAATAACACATCAAATGATGTAGGAATTTGAGGATAACGCCAAGAGGAAAGAAGACAAAAACTGAGTAGCTCTCTAAAGAATGAAACTGTAAACCAGGCAGTGTGGAGGGAAACTGCTTTTCTCATTCCAAGTCTTGTACCATCTGACGTTCTACACCATACTTTTCTGACGTTTTACACCATATTTACAAATGACTGATTCAAGGGGAAAACCAGCAACATTTAAAATTAGGCATTGCTGTGGTGTTGCCGGTAAAGCCGCTGCCCATATGGGCACTGGTTCC